CAAATTCTAGAGTATTAAACTAATGCACAAAACAATGTCTCAGTGGTATGCTCTTTAGTCTTGCATATTTCACTCTTTTTTGTAATTTTTCTACTTTTGTGAATATGTGTGGTTTGTTTTATTTATATTTAATCTAATAAATATAAAATATAATGATAGTATTGAAAGAGATTTTACTATTTACATTTTTTAAACAAATTAACTTCCCCTCTGTGAAATCTGTCAAATATTTCACAATTTTAAGAGTAATTTATACATGGTAAAGCCACGCATCAGCTATATTATGGTTATAGCACAATTGGGTCGGTTCGACCTGGGAACGACCACGCTCTCACAGAATAGCGTAAAATAGCAGCTTAATACTGCTGTGTTTCGTATGGTGAGTGTAAAGATCCCGAGACCCTTTTTTACTGGAAACGAGGCATTTCATCTTAGTCCTCAGGGTGACAACGCATCTGCGTTTTGATTCTTAATCGAGGATAAATGTAGATGTCTATGGGCCACAGCATCTACTTACCATCAGATGGACTGTGTGCTCGTTTGTCATCCTTATTCTATAAAAAAAGTGGCACCCTAGCTGAAAAAGTTGTGGATGCCCTCATTAATGCAAATCCTCGCTATAAACAGAAAGGCCCATATTCTGCAGTAGATTTTACGGCTGATGAGGAAGATGATGTTAAAATGGTACTTTTTTACTTATTATAAACCAGTGCTTGGCCACAGTCCCACCTGGTTGTAAGTAGTGGTGAAGCCCTTAATCGTAAACTGTGTGAATAGGCTTTTGTTGCGCTAAGATAATGCTTAGCGTAACAAAAACCTATTCGCATTTGACTTGAATATACCCAAATTGTATGCTGACGAAATGACAGACTCTGGCAAATGATTCCACTCCTTTTTGTAGTACGTATTACAAAAGACAAAGCAAACGGTTATGTTCTAATGCGTGGAATATTGACAACAATGGGTTGAAAACCCGCCCTGGTTACCATTAGAGAATAAAGCCAATAATATAGTGAATTCATTATTTACTTCTTTTTCACTTAACTTGCTGTTCATTTTGACGTCATCACATATCATTATTTAAAAAAATAATTTAACATAAACATTCATAGTCACATATTGAAACATAAGTACATCATTGGTTTTCTGACTTCTACTTTTACATTCTACTATAACGTTCTTCTAAAATGGAATTTCAAAACATGCACAAATGTCTCAAAAGTTTCTCTCTAGCCGAAAATATATTCACAATGTATCGGGAAACCATTGTTGTGTGTCATCTAAAGAACGTACTCGTATCTTCAGGTGCCAACTATCTCGCTTCAACTTTTTATTATTTTATGTAACCGTTGGAAGTTTAAAAAGTCCCGTTTACGTGTGGACAATTTTATGATCTGCGGTCGCAGTTCTCCACCATTTACACCCATATTGGTTTTGAGAATATATTGCATTTAAAGAGCGTATAAAGAAGTTCTGTGAGTGTGAGTCCTGCTTTAAATTATGCACATTTTTTTATAGAAGCGGGGCAAACGAGCATGCGGCTCACCTTATGTTAAGTGACTACCGCTGAAATACATTCTGTATTTTATTATATCAACACGTAATTGAGTAAAAATACAATTATTTAACAATGAAAATAAAAATCATAGGAAATCCTAGGGTAGTTAAATAATTCACAAAACGAAGATCTAACTTTTACAGCAATTTTTTCAATTTTTTTTCATAAATATATACAAAGCAACGCAAAATTCAAAAACATATTTTAATATAAAACGGCAAAAAGTATTCAAATGCGAAACGAACAAAGACTTAAATCCCGATCTCAAACTTTCACTCAATGCGCCGTCATTACTCCGTCACTGCTCGATTCATTCCGACTGGAAAGCTTTGCTGATGCTAATTTTATAAACAAACAATAGCAAGTGCCTAATGAAGGGTCTGTCGAACAAACTTTCTTATTCTACGAGGGAAAGCCCGGGAGCTCTTCCGTCCGATCCATTTGCTTGTTTATTATGGACTTAGGAGGCCGGTCCAATACTGGGAGAAAATAATGTCCTACCCGGAAGTGGGAACAAACTGCGCTCTACAAAACTCTCTGTAAAGTTCGAGTAAACTATTTAACAATACTTTCATCGAGTGCTATAGCATTTTGTACAATGTGTTTTTTTCTGAAACGAATAAATGTTTTTGCTATCATTTTTATATTATTTACATTATAATATTACATGTTAACAACATTGAAGGTACGACACATAAATATGGCTGCTTGATCGAAGTAAGCTCTAATAAAAAACGCCATCATACATACATAACATACATAAATGCTCTCGACTCACGCTTGTCACCAAAAGGTGTAGGCAGAGACTACGAACTTCCGTTTAGCACGATCCTAACATACCTCTCTCGCCTCCTTTACATAAATATATCTACACTTACATGCTCGTCAGTTAAGGGTACTCCTAATGTAGCCCTTCTCTTCTTCTCTTTCAAAAAAGTTCTTTCTTTCAAAATCACAAGCCCACTGAATGAACTGAAAACTGAACATAGGCTTCTCCTAAGGAATTCCACAAAGCATAACGTATGCAGGTCAATGGCATCGATGTCACATATCACTCGATGGATGCAGGTAACTCAGGACTCACCGGCATCCATCGACTTCCTGGATGTTTTACCATTCCGTCAGAACATCTAGTTGGGGGCACTTTACACTTCGCTCGCCGGTACAAGCCAGCCACTCGCAAACCTTTCTTCCCCATTCGTTGTCGATTCATCGATCTGTATCCATATGTATGTTCTGCGGATATCCCCGTTCAGATCACACAGTGAAACCACAGCCCTCTCCATGATCTGATGAGTGACTTGAGCTTCCTCACAAGCAGTGAAGGGCCACGTTTTGGTTCCGTAAGTCATCACTGGCAACGCGCACTGGTTATACTCTTTTAAGGTAAGGTTCAGTATATCCAACAAGAACCTTTGTTGCAATTTCCAGAACATGGCCCAGCCGCAGTTAGTTTCATCGACTCTCTTAATAGAAATAGGATTAACGTTATCGAAAATCTTGTCTCTGGTACGCATACTACTGAACAACATGGAGTATGGTGTACAACTACCGGTATGGGTGTAATAAGAATGTTAGATATCACGATTTTTATATAAGGGTGACACATGAGCTCACACTTCTTTTTCATGGTAAGTGGATACTGTGGCTCATAGACCCCTACATCTATCCTCGGTTAAAAATAAAAAAGAAGCGTTGTTACCCTTGAGGACCAAGAAAGAATGGCTCGTTACCAGTACAAAGTATATCATTATCATCATTTTTATCTCATCCATATTCATCTTAAGGTTTACCCATTGGGAATCTTACTACTGAGGTCGTTAAGCTAATACTACTAATGGCAGCCTTAATGAGTCCATATATGTACTTAATTCGTTCCTGAAATAGAAATCAGGTTTTACACATATTGTAAAAATATCCTCTTTGATGTGGCAACATTGTATGTATGTTCTATTTTTTGTTTTGTACAAAGCTTTTTAATTAATTAACAAGCTGCTCCCCGCGACTTCGTCCGCGTCGTTTCGTTTGGCTTGGCGCGTCGCGTCGTACATTTGGCTTTGGGTTTAAAAGTTATTCGCGGAACTCTAATCTTTTTTTCAAAATAAAAGTAGCCTAAGTTACTTCTTATAACATAAGATATCTAGTAGCTATGCCCGTGAAGTTCCCGTCAAAATCGATCAATCCAGTTTGGAGATTAGCCGAAAAAAATAGACAAACAAAATTTAAAAAAAATTGTTTTTTGTTATAAGTATCGTATAAACTTTCATATGCATTTAGTAAAAAGCTGCTATTTTGACAATACAAACGAACACTTTAATTTTATTTGTCTGGTATATATGTGTATACTGTGTATGTATTGAGAAATCGAAAATTTTTATACTCGTATTTGTACCAAAGCTCGACGTATAACAAGTTACTAGTATAATTGCCGTTTTTTTTTAAAATATGATAGGACATAATTGTGTGAGTTAAACTACAAATATTTTATATTATTATTATTAGTTCTTCTATAAGAGAACACATAAATTTAAATAAAAAAATAATATCACAAAGAACATCATTAGCCACTACAAGTCTCTCAGCCAACATTTAAAATTGTATAAATATTATGAAATCCAAACCATTACTTTACCCTCAGACTAAATGTGATTTTTAAGCAAAGAATGAAGAAAACCTCTTCTTACATGTACCCTAGGGCGGTCGGCGCGGGCACGTCCTCATGCCTAATTTAATCCTCGGTTTATTGAAATAAAAACGACATAGGTTTTCGACAGGTGCCGCGGGCAAGGACAAACGGGGCTGGCAACTGTACGGGGAGCGGGGCGACGAGCAGAGCGTGAGGCGGGTCACAGGTGGCCCCGATGGTCGCAGCGTCGTTAAAATTTACATAAAGTCTCAATCCACGACGACGGGCGCGCTGCCCACCCCACGTTTATGCTACATTTAGTAATTTTATGATAATTTCGAAAACCTTACCGCCACCCATCGCATTATACTAATAGACCACCTCTCCGTACAGCGTTCATACGACGTCGAAAATATTCGAACGCCTCGAAAATAATAAGTCTCGCTCTATAAATCGTACGAAACGTGTAACGGACGTGATTTTTTTATTTTTCCTAAAATTAATAGCAGATGTGTTGTTGAGTACAGGACCGGGGTGGCCAGTTACGCTGAAACTGAGGCGCATAAATCTACTCATGCGTTTTTTTTTTAGAAATGTTTTTGATTAATAGCGTATAAAATTGAAGTGTTCAACCGTAAAATTTTTAATATTTAACTTTTAATGGCGCTGCTCGGAGAAGTGGAGGGTGGAGATCCGATCCAATTCCATGCAAATGTGTACCTGGGCGCTCGTTAAAAGGCGCGTTTATACTTAACAACAGAGGTTGAACGTATCGAATGGAAAGGAATAAAAATAAACGTTAATGTTTTGTTGCAGTCTAACCTGACACACCTGCCCCGTCATGAGTACGTGCCGGGCATCGGCATGGGGATCGCTAAGTGTCCCTACGACCCGGCCGACAACTCCACAGCGTTGTGGGTGGAGCGTGGCAACCCAGGCGGTCTACCCGCCTTATACTCAGGCACTAACGCAGAATTCACCAAAGCTGATACAGTCATCTTTAGAACTGACCTGCACAACTTAACTACTGGACGACGTGAATTCTCGTATAAAAGGACTTTGAAATACGACTCCAAATGGCTAGACAGTGAGTATATACATTAATTATTAATTCATAAATTTACATAAATAGTTACTATAATATTTTGGGAAAAGGAAGGTTAAGGTTGTCAAATCAACAATACTTTTTTTCTTTTTTTAAGGTATGTCCTGCAATATCTTACGTTAATTCGTCACTTGTTTTGGTATTTTGGTAATTTTGTACTATTGCGGTCCCCTCGTTTTTGGCTATAGAAAATGGAAAAATCATCCATTTAAATCTTCGTTTTTGCGGTGGATTTACGAAAAAAATTAAAAAATTAAAACTTATATTGGTTTCAGGACTTTAAATGTTCATGAAAATGCACTCATTCACGTGTAATTGTTGATAATCATAAACAAATAACCGAATGTAGTTGCTATATTTTTTTCATAATCTACACAAAAAAATAAACATAAAAAAAGCATTGAAAAATGTTCGTTTATTACTTTTTTATTTTGGTGTTTTATTGAGTGTAAGATCGAGCGAAGCGAGCTCGGGACTTAGGGCATCCCGACTTATACAGGTTAGGTTAGAAGGAGATGGCGGGGTGAGTGAGAGTCCGAAGCGAGCAAATAAATCCCGCCATCTCCTTCGTGGTTCTTTTTTTATAAACCACTCAGAAGTAGTCATCCGTAAACCGTAACCGTCCGTAACCGTCGACCGGGCTTCCATCGACTGCGCTACGAGAGAGAGTTGGGGGATGGGAGCAGCACGCCACTCGACATCGAGGGAAGCCCGGTTGACGAAGCCCCGCTTATCGGGGCCATAGTATAAAGGCCTCTTTATACTATGTCGGGGCTCCTACTTCTGAGAGGTTTATAAACAAATAACCACGAAGGAGATGGCGGGGTCTATTCGCTCGTTCGCTCGCTCACTCGACCCTGCCATCTCCTTCTAACCTAAATTGTCCGAGTCGGGATGCCATAAGTCCCGAGTTTGCATCGTTCGGTCTTACACTCAATAAAACACCAAAATATTACTTTTTGTAATTATTTCGATTTTCTAGAGCGTTTATTAACATTTAAAATCAGAAAACCATATAAAAACTTTAAGTGGGATAAAAAATTAATAAACTAAATTTTTTTAATTTTTTTTTAAATGTTAGATTTTTATATAGATTAACAAAAAATGTATAAACTTCGTTTAATGCTTTTCAAAAAAGTTATGAACGAGTATATTCGAAGAAGTGCGTTTATGATCACATTTAAAGTCATAAAACTATATGAAATCTTCAGGTAAGATATTTTCCATTTTTTTTCTAAATCTGTCATAAAAACGAATATTTAAAAAAAATCATCGAAATCGGATGATTTTTCGATGTTCTAGAGCCAAAAAACGAGGGGACCGCGAAAGTATAAAATTACCGGTATTTTTTTTAGTTTTACAGTATTTTCATATACAATATAAAACAGATAAAATGATTATTTCAAGTGAATTTATATTTTTTGTACCAACAAAGGTGACGACATGCAAACGCACACTCTTCTTGACATCCTGATGATATAATGGCGACGATGGCATAGAATGCTAATTGTGAATAGTTATCCTGTTTTCATATTAAAACCATTTACTGCAAATTGTAAAGCTGTTTATGGAATTAATATTTAGAAAATAACAAACAGTATTATGTATATTGTATAGAGATTGTGATATTTTAATATGAATTTTATTAATCCAAATATTCTTAGATTTTATTTCAGTTAAATGGATAATACGTATAAATTAGATCCGCTTAAAAATAATTTTGAAGCTATGAATTGCTCATTAATTGTTCAGGAAGGATGGTCGATGAATTCACAAATCAGTGAAATCATTGAAAATTGAAACGTCACTAATCAGCAATCAACGACCGCCCGAGGCGCGTGCTCCTGTAATCATTAGTACTATTGTTACAATTATCGGCTCTGACACGATTTAGACTGGAATTGGCCTGTTTACGACTAAACACTGGAAATTAAACTGCGCTCGCTCTAACGAGCTGTAACATGCCCCAATCTTCAGCTGGTAATTTGCATAATGTAAAAGTAAAAATTATATATGAAAAACTCGCTTAGTTAACTTTAATGCAGCTTTATTCATTACCTACGCTTTGCTTAAGGATTAATTTATCATTTATACAATTTATATCTTTATTTGAGCGTAGTCTCACTTATTCTCTGTATAAATGTCATTATATCGAATAACAATTTCATTCAATGAATAAAAAAAATTCATCATTTATAAACTTTTATTATTGAGCTTTGGAGCAAAGAGATAAGCGCTCTACGTAAATTTAAAGTACGCGGTATCGCGTACTTTCGTATACCCGAATTCGATCTCCGCTGACACTATGCGTACAAGGTAAACATTGTATAGATAAGTTTAAACGTTTAAACGAGTACGTAAATTTATTTATGCAGCGATCTAACAGCTTCATAGCCCCTTCAGAAGTTTGAGAAGCCCTGTGCCCAAAAACTGGACGAAAGGTTAAAGAAAGGTTATTTGGTGAGATAGACAATTTGGTGATAGACTTTTAAAAGTAAACTGCAGTTTGCCGCAAGAACGAAAGAGACGTCGTGATGAATCATTTTGCGTACTTAACTGCGTGCGTGGGTAACGTCATGAAAGACTTAAAAGTCTATCATCAAATTACCTATCTCACCAAATAACCTTTCTTTACCATATTAGGACATATACGTCCAGCATAGTTAATATAGAGAGGTTGTACCTATAGTATAAGATTAATTAAAGAACTTTTATAAGGAAGATTTTCTTAAATTAATTAACTACATGTAGAGTATTAGTTTTCTTAAACTTTAAGTTAATAAGTAGTATAATATTAAAGACAATAAAATACCAGCAGATACCCTCAGCGTTAAAAGGAAAAGCTAATTTTTTTCAATGTTTTTCTAATATTACGAAAAAATAATTACCATCAATATACATGCAATAATTACATTACATTAAACAGTTATTTCGTTTCTTAGTTTTTTAAAAAAAAATCCAGTTTATTGCGGTACATTGTTAATTTATATTGCTTGCGATTGTTCAATGCACTCCAATAACGCAACCGCAGTTCGCAGCAGCGGGTTTATATTCCTCAGACTTGATTTTTACAAATATGATACCGATTTCAACACTGAAAACTAATTTTGATCACCTCGAAAATAGTGTAGCTTTTTGTTAGTAAAGATAATAACATTTTATGTAATAATGATTTCTTAAATTTACGCGAACACTACACATTGAATAAAACTAAATTTACGGATTTTATCGCGTATTTCACTACTTTTACTTATTTTTAACTCCCGACGTTTCGAGTGCTTTACAGCAACCATGGTCACGAGGGGGACTGAGATGTTTGACGTCCCAATGTCATAGTTAGTCCGGCTACCTTCATTCATTTATTTCATTACATTAAAATTAATATTCAAAAACTGAAGGTAGCCGGACTAACTATGACATTGGGACGTCAAACCTCTCCGTCCCCCCCCCCGTGACCATGGTTGCTGTAAAGCACCCGAAACGTCGGGAATTAAAAATAAGTAAAAGTAGTGAAATAAACGCAATAAAATCCGTAAATTTAGTTTTATTCAATTTTATGTAATATTAAACAAATAATTTTTACTCTTTATTACATTAGTGGATCATACTCTAAAGAAGAAAGTTTGAAGTGTGATAAATATATCAACATAATTTCTAAAGACCACGTTGTAATTATTAATTTTTTCATAATTTTTCACAATCTATATAATTAATATTTTGGCAGCGTTAGTAGGTAATATTTGCGATGACTTAGGTGTGTCAGTTTATGTCTAATGAACATTTATTCAGACAATTTATACAGGTTTTTTTTGTAATAACTGGCCAAATTTGCAGAGAAGGTTCAGAATAAGTAATACTGGCAAATGGGGAAGAAAAATTAATAAAAAAAGATCTTAATCTTTCTGTCCTTTTTATCTTTTAAATTCAAAATGCGTGGTAATGCATTAATTTAACTAATTTTACTGCGCACCGATTGACCCCTAGGAATGTGTGCGTTCTTAGGGGTCAATCGGTAGGCAAAAATGTTGTTGCACATAAATCACATTCAATTTGGGATAATTTCAAATAAAAGTAGAAGCCTTATTTAGTCGTATTTTTGTTAAACTGCAATAATGATATATCATTTTCACTTCAATTTTAACTTAAGTTTAAAATGTGACTAATCTTTGAAAATAACCCCGTATATATAAAATCAATTAAAGGCTCGTGTTAGCTGTTGCAGTGATATTCCACCAAATGTAGTCACGACCTGATGAAACACGCAGGGAGTCGTTGGATCCAGGTGGCTTATGACAGTGCTTTGTGGCAATATATGCGTGAGGCATATGTTTAGCGGTGGATTTCCGATAAAATACAATTATGAAGACCTTTTAATAAAAATAATTTTCAAGATTTTATCGCGTATAATTTTAACTTATTAGTCTCAAGGATTTAGGTACTTCACAGCACCCATGGTTACGGAGGGGATAAGATGTTTGACGCCCTGATGTAAGGGTTAACCCGGCCTGTCTCCACTTTTTAAATATTAATTTTGGTCCGATTAACGGATGACGTGCCTTTTGTATCCTGAAGACTCAAAGTGGTATGCTTGATCTATTTTCAACTTCGACCACATAGAAGCATTCTCTCGTCTCCACTCATATACAACATCTACAATAAAATCGATCCAACTTGTACGACATAATCAGTAATAGTGTCACATGCTGTCAAACATATCACGACACTCGACGACAGCCGAAAATCTTGTATTTTTGTCAATTCCGGCTGAAATTCGAACCTAGACTCATAGTGTACAACAATATACCTTGACTACCTGACTACTGGATCACTTGATATATTTTTATTGTATTACAAGTCATACGCATGTGATGTAAGTAGTTTAAAAAAATATAATAAATTAAAATTTTCAGTTAATATGTTAGAATAACAGAAAATTTATATTTTAACATAAAGCGCCAACATGTTTTTTTTTTAAATAAATAAAGCACCTTTGTGTGATTTTTCATAATAAATATCAGCTCAATCAATTAACATGTACAACCGAGCGTGCAGCATTCTTCATCAAAACCCGGTTTAACGCGCCCATTAATTATGATGAAGCAAAAATAAATTATAGTCCAATAATTTTAAAGGGGCAAGGACTTATTAAAATTAAAATGTAGTGGAGCCTACCATTCGGTTTCATTAAACTGCATTAGTTCAGAGACAGAATAGTCGAAGGACAACGATATTGCTACAGACCGCGTGCCCCTAATCCTAGACACGTGACTAGTTCATTACGCGACCAACAAATAAGCACATATTAATACGAGCTATAAATAGCCGGTATAAAATGACGTACGTTTCGTCTAATATGCATTGAACATCACACAAAATAACAGCAATTCGATATTGTATATCCTATACTTTAGGTATTAATTTTTTCTTTATTTAGATAACGTTCGAATTGTATCTAGATAGTTTTAATCGATGTGAAAATTATATTATGTACACTTAACGCCGAGCGCAACTCGGTCGATCAAGTATTGGCATATTTATGTGGGAACGTGCATTTTGTACCTTTAAATAAAACTGACAGCACGAATTGGGGCAGCGCGACGGACTTTTCCTTCTCCCAAAACGCTACATATAGACTGCTTCTTTATATTTACAATAATTTCACAACAAATATACCATCGTAAACTGAAAACAAAACAATTATATAATAACCTTTTTTAATAAATATGTCAGGAATGGAACAGGATATCCCACTTCTGATGTCGGAAATATATCAGGACAGGTTAATTGTTAAAAATGGTAATAGTGTAAGAGCGAATGTTCAACTTGCTCCCTTGCTTATGCAATTAATCATTATCAGTATAAGACAGCGTAATGCACTATACATTCAGTATAGAGCAATTATAGTTCGACCATACCGTAATATGTCCCCGTCACAATTACACCCTGGTGTAACGTTAAGGACATAATTACATGATAACACTAAAGTATGCAAACCATCAACTACACCACCCATTTATGCGTAACACAGGGCAGCCTCTCAACAACAGCATGTGTTTGCCGGAAGGCAAGCACATGGTGATGTTCTTCTGGTTCTGGAGAACCAGAACAACCACCACAATGGACAGAACCACAACACTATCTCAGCACTCCTAGAATGACTTAAGCGGAATTTCTCGCGCAATACAGTGAACTTTATAGTGCACAAACGAGTGGGAAATTTTTATATACCCTCAATTCAATCCCGCCATCATCGATATGACTCCCCAGTGATGCAGCTTCTCGCTCACTACAAATATTTTTCCTTAAGCTTAAGCAAAAATTATTAAATAATTTTTTCTTTTTACTTAGAACCAAACTTCGTTGGGTCTTTCGACGTTGGCGATTATGTTCTCTTCTTCTTCCGTGAAACGGCCGTGGAATATATCAACTGTGGCAAAGCGGTATATTCAAGAGTCGCCAGAGTTTGCAAGAGAGATACCGGTGGCAAAAACATACTTAACCAGAACTGGGCAACGTATCTAAAAGCAAGGCTCAATTGTAGCATACCTGGAGAGTTTCCTTTCTACTTCAATGAGATTCGTAAGTAGATATGTTAGTTAAACTTTTATTTACTATTATTATTTTACTAAGAATAATTATAATTACTCGATAACTTCCTAGTGAGCCGTGGTAGCTCAGATGTTTAGCGCTCGCTATAAATTTCATAGTACGCGAACAACCCGGGTTCGATCCCCGCCGGCGCCAATGAAATTGTTAATTGTAATTTTAAGTGCTAATTTACCACATGCTTGGCGGTGAAGAAAACATCGCGGGGAAACCTGCATGTCTGAAAAATAAGAAAATATATATATTTCGAAGAAAGTCCGCAAACACCCATTGGGATAGCGCTCCGGAAACTTCCGTGCCTTTAGGACATTTTTCCTTGCCTCAGAAAAGAGAATAGGCCTGTGCCCACAGTGGGACCTGTATAGACAAACAATTTTTTTAATCCTAGTTACGTTTGGCAGCAGTAGTTAAATTGGTAGTAAGTTCATCGGTGACTATAAAATATATTTAATAAATTAATCTGAGCTCAATTCATTCCCTTTCATAAAAGTAAAGGCGGTGAACAAGCACAGAATTCACCCGACACATCTTTTGAAATATATATTCTTTATTCGGTATTAATTTTTATTGCACACATCTTAATATAAATAAACTGTATACTAAATGTACAAATGGATAGCCGACCTTATTGCTAAACAGCGATCACTTCCAGACAAAACTTTATTGAGGCGTCTTTTTTGTTCACTAAAAATACGTAAACTATTTAAAAAATCTGATAATATCTTATACCTACTTCGATTATTACAATAATAAATTCCTTCAGAACGAATCAGACCCATCCTCGAACTCGAACTCGTAACCCATCATGATCAGCAGTCGCGCTTACAACCACTACACCAATGAGACAGTCAAATACGTTATAATTATAAACTTATATATTAAATTATTATTTATTTGTTCGTATTTTATGCGCTGCCATACAGTTCATCAGTTTGCGGTAAAACTTTATCCACATATTGCTTGCACTTCCGTGAAGGTTATATGCGTAGTTTGACCCGGTAAGTGGGGCTTTTGTATAATCCAGATATCACCCGAGCGAAACCAGGGCAGATCGCGAGTATATTATAATATATCATACTCAAATACTCTTTAACTCATTTGAGAAAAGTAGACTATTAGACCACAGATTTAAAATGTGATTTCTCATAATATGTTTTTTGAATTACTCAAAGCTTTGAGCCTTGCCAATTTTATGGGAAGCCAAAGTCATAATGATACCTTTTACCCAAATTTTATGTTATGACAGGCATTCATAAAATTAAGTGATTAGACGCCTATGAATGTTTTGAATATGTATTATTATGATAATGTACATGTAGTATAATGTACATATAATATTCTAAATGTTTTGAATAACAGTTCCTTATACTTTAAATCTAAAATAATATAAATAAATAAAACATACACTTCTTTACTAATAAATCATAACTGCCTTCAAAAATATAAAACACTTTACATTCAGTTTTCAATCTTCTCTAATCGCAAAAAAATAATTGTCAATCTCATGCAAGCAGCTTCAAATTTAATAGAGCTAAAGAGATATCATTGAGAAAAGTCTAGCCAATTTCTTACGCTCTTTGGAAGCCGAGTCATGCGACTGTTTTCATTTAATATTAACGTTCGAGGTACGAGCGTCGCTATGGTTTTTCGCGCGGTCCCCACTGCATTCCCTGCATTACTCATGAGTGTGTAATGGGTATATCCGATGCTGGCTATTTGGGATATTAAGTGCGTTGCTTGAATATTCACAATTATTCTTATTATAAATGAAAAACCATTTTCATTTTCATTCAATTAAAATAATGATTCTCTTACGATAAAATATTAACAACAATAAACGTGTACTATGAGTACATAATATGTAATTTTTTTGCAAGCTTATTGTTTTGGGATAAAAATTTCATTACTATTGTAATCAATTTACCTAAAAAATATGAAGTTCTAATTATAAAACACTAATGTTTTAATAAATGATATTAATAGTTACTTTGCAACCATCCGCTAAATTGAATAAAATGATGTGTCTTACCTAGTTTGAAGAGCACCTCCCGCCCTCCCTCAATTGCGTGCACCAATCCCGTCACCACCAATCCCAGCACCACTATTCCCAACACCACTATTCTAGGAAAGACACATTATCGACGATAATACGTCACGTGTTCGCACACGTGTCGCCTCTACCGTTACCGTTACCGTTGGTGGTGACGGGATTGGTGCACGCAATTGAGGGAGGGCGGAAGGTGCTCTTCAAACTAGGTAAGACACATCATTTTATTTAATTTAGCGGATGGTTGCAAAGTAACTAATAATATCATTTATTATAATGGATTTCCGCAAAGTAACGCCCGATTCTATCAATTACACTAATGTTTTGCCAGAAGTAGGTGGTTACAATTGATTAAAATTTAATTTAATTCGATTCTGTTTTTTTTTTTAATTTGAGGAGTTTTGTTGTAAAATATCAATGTCATTTAACTTTAAACACCAAATAATAGATAACGGTATTTATTACTAATTTAACAATATACAAACTAAACGATTCATTATAATATTCTTTTCAAAGAACGATTTAAATCTTTGATTAAAAAAAACTTTTAACTAATTTTGAAACGACAGTAGGTATTAAATGGCGTTTGACAAATATAATTTTATTTTCTGATGTTTAAAAAATGTAAAATAGTCGAATTGATTTCACTTCATACAATGCTTATTATGACACCAGGTTTGGATTACTAAGAGATTTTCTCGTTAGGCTTACCATTTATTAAGATTGACGTTTATAGTAGCAGAAGCTAGTTTAATTGTCGCGGTAACTTTTGTTGACATCGAGATATAAAGTTCGTGTCACACAATTACAACGATTTGATAGTCAACTCTCATAACTTTGGGCAACCAAGAACAAATTATACTTCGTGACGGCACTTGATAATTTTCCGGCTCAGTTTTTGAATCGTTTAATATGCAAATTGTATTTAACTAGTTAACTCGGTAGAATTGCTAAAATGTTAAGTCTTATTTTTAATATTTAGGTTGGTTTTAGAGTAGGGAAGCTAACACATTTTTCTTTACAATTAGATCCGGTTTCCATCTTCAAGTACCACATTTTTAACAGCTGATGATTATTACTTTACTTATTTTCCTTCTAAGCATTGTATTTTAACAATTTTTAAGTGCTTTAATTATTTTAGGAATTGAATATTATTTTAAAATATTCAAAAATTATAGTAATTATTTTTAAATATGTCTTCAAGTACGTTTTGTTTATTCAACAGAGAGCATCTATAAAATTCCCGGCGATGATAGCCGCTTCTATGGAGTATTTACTACGGCTTCCACTGGCTTAATGGGATCGGCCATTTGTACCTTCACCATTGGCGACATCCAAAAGGCTTTCGAGGGCAAGTTCAAAGAGCAAGCTACATCCAGTTCTGCATGGCTACCTGTTATTAGCAGTAGAGTCCCTGAACCAAGACCGGGGACTTGTGTGAATGACACTTCTTCCCTACCAGATACTGTGCTTAATTTTATTAGGTGAGTTACGTACGTTATTAAGAAAAACACAGGGGTTTTCCTTTATCATTATCACTACAGCCCCTCACAAGTCAACTTTCCTCCAAGGAATGACAAAATACGATCCTGAATCAATGAATCCACCGAATTTACGCGTCTTTTATCAGATCGTTACTCCGTAAAACTAATAAGATGTTGTTTGTATTACTTAATATTGTAGTCAAAGTTTTTGACGTTTTCTTTTTACCTAGAACAAATTATTTAAACTGCAACTCAGAGGTCAATCGACGGATCCAACTCGACTGGGCAGTGTTCACAAGTTTATGACACAGCTACAAGTCATCGATTCCTGAAAAAATATAAACAGGAGTGAGCTACCAGTTCATTTTTCCGGCGGTGTCAAATGCATCTGAGACGTGGTCTTTTAGAGCTGGCTGTTTGAGCAAACTTATTCACTCTGTGGGCTATAGAGGGGATTATGCTTGGAGTTTGTCTATGTATGTGTTTGTCTGTGTCCTTTACTGCAGCTGATATAATGGCGATATCAGCTGCAGAACCGGATTAATCAATATAGCCTTAGGGATCAGTAAACTGTAGTGGTAAAGAGCCGGTCATATAACTTGAAGAGTTATCAACCGATGAAAAGGGAAGGTTCACGCATGAAATACTACGAGTACCCGAACGTACTCGTACGTAAGACATGCAGAAAGTCGATGGATACAGATAGCTCAGGACCATTCCTTGACGAAAGCTTATGCTCAGCTGTGGGATTATAGAAGGCTGTAATGATCATAAAAAATGGAGGTACTTGGAACTAATTATTCTTTAAGACGTAAAAATATACTATGTTTTTACATAACTATCGTGCACAAAAAATAGTTTTATTTAAAACACTTGCTAAAATTTAATTAATAAAGAAAAATTGGAAAATCCATCAACCTCAATGTGTTATATAACGAATTGATCAGACAATGTCACTTGGTAGTTGAACATAAACAAACCGACGATTGTCTTTTAAAACGCGTGCACGAGTTAGGTGCTAGGCGCGGTTTCCAGCGAGTCTAGAATGCCGCACTCATTGAAATCTGCAAGCACTTTTATCTAGCGACACGTCCTGTTAATTATCCGACGCTCTCACCCCGAGAGTGTTCAATCTTTTTTTCCTCTTTTTACGATCCTGGCGTGAAAATGTACTTTACCTGAAATAGTCTGTTGAAAATTACGTAAATGTTACGTGATTTTTGACAGGAGTTTGAATTAAATGAGGTATTTCGTTGTTGCGACGATGTGTACAAGCTTTGACACCGATGCTAACGTTTGCACCGTACTATAGTAACATTTCGTAGCGGAGAAACGACTTAGCAATGTAATTGTTCCTCGTGCATTTATGATATTTCAGCACTCTAACGTCTGTTTTCTTTAAGGTAGAAGTGCTCATTATCCTTAAAATGTATGCTAATGCAAAGGCCACCTAGTTGTTTTTGCTGTTGAATTATCCGGTATTAATAAGTTCTTATTAATTTCTGGAAAAGAAATTATTGCCGTTTTTATTTTTAACTAACCGCAAAGGAATTCAAGCTATTATCTATCTTTCAATAACTTGTTTAGTATCTGTTAATTAAGTGATGTGTGTTTATTCTTCTAACAGATCTCATCCATTGATGGACAGTGCTGTGTCGCATGAAAATGAAAAACCTATATACTACAAGAGAGATCTATTCTTTACGAGATTGGTTGTGGATAGAGTGAGAGTAGATATGCTGGGTCACCAACTGGAATACACGGTGTACTATGCTGGTACAAGTAAGTATTTACAGCAATATATTTAATTCAAAATATTGTAACAGCTTCTATATGTACGTTTCACGGTTGAGTTTATCTTTGAGAGGGTTTTGAAGAAATTATCTTCCGCTCTGTCCCAGTGCGTGTTAGTAGAATCGAAATATCATCAATGCCATAATCAAAGATGTTATTACGATTCGCTAACGTAGGTAGGCAAAGCTCTTAGGCCATACAGCCTAATGACTTGAGAAACAATTTTCTAGCATAATATGCCTAGTACACATTTTTATGTCTTTAAATACGCCTACCATAAACTTTTTATGTTATTTTATGAGTAGGTGTTCTTATAAATAAATAATTAACATAATATTAAAATGTTTTCCATTTTTGCTATTAACTTGTTCACTTCAATCTGTATTTTAAGTGTATAATATTATGTTATTTAGAGTTAGTTCTGTTATTATGATTTATCTTAATTTAACGTAATTGTTTATTATAGTAAAAATATGTCAGATAAAAAATAAATTCGTAAATATATCACAGTCAGAATAACAACACTGTGGCAACTCTTCTCCAGCATAATACGCAGTCGGATTCCTTTTCATACCACAACATAGTTTTTGTGTAAACACGGTTTATATTTGCTATTTTTATGTCTTGTTTACACAGTGTTTTAGGGGTGAATAAACATTTCATTCATTCATTCAAATATTTTATTTCCTTGACCACAGATTTTTTCACGATCTTTTCCTTTAAAATCTGCACCTAAAATTGCAGTCAACAATTACTAATATTAGTGCTGGTGACTATCAAACCCGGGTTACTCGTGTACTTTAAAATTTACGGAGAACGGTTAGTAAATGAGATAGCACAGCTCCTCTTACCCACTGAGCTGCCACAGCTATAGATAAGGTAAGTTGCATTTATACAACGGGCTTTCACATTTATCCCACGGGTATCGTGCGAGCTGACGGTAATATATGCAGAGAGCTCTCAAGCTGCCACTATTTATTACTATTTGTGCACATATGTGTTATGTATAAACACTTTCATGAGTCACTTTAGAACATTATTTACTTAATGCATATTTTATTTCGACTCGTAAGTTTCGAGTTTCGTAAGTATTAATTAAAGATTTTGTGACCAGTTAAAATGTGCTATATGCTAGCTGGGCCCACAAATTCCATCGTATTTATTATATTTAATCGATTGCTTTAAAGCCGAGACTGGTCATTTACTCAATTTGATGTTTTATTGCTTTAGGCCTAATAAATTTAAAACTACATCATAAACAGTAACAGTATATATGTTTATGTATATAGATATGTTTATAATTGCAAGTCCATCATAAAAAAGATCAAGTAAAAAAGTTAAAAAAGTACGTATACCCTATACTCTAGCATATATATTCCCTGATTGCACTAACTAAATAGTATATCGCCGTACAAAACATACATATACTTACACTCCTAGTCGCCTCTCACACACGAATTCACACAAAATAATTTCATGTTGCTTTTATTTTACTTATTTTATTATTAAAAGTACGTACTACGAGTACATACAACAAAACTTTTCAAAACTGAATTATGAACGTCCCGATGAACACGAGAAACTTTCCTTTGTACTGGCTGCTAACAAGGCACTTTAGCAATCCGTATATCTATCAACGAGCACCGAAACTCAAAGTAACATCAAAAACAATCATAGAAAACATTACTATGCGAAATTCCATAAAAGCGAAGAATTAAAAATGCCACCCGTAGCATGAGATTAAAAACTGGCGGCGTGTGAAAGTGGCACAAAGGCCATAACTTGTCTCGCCAGTGATGTTTGGACGTTTGGACTGTCGTCTGGATGCCCATAGCGTATTACCCGCTGGGAGTTAGAGGATTATGCACATTCGACTGCGAAACATTGGATTTAAAGTTTAAAACACGAAAAACCTGTTACATCCTGCATTGTTTGTACCCAAATAGCGTACGAAACACAATTTTCAACTATTTTTGTCAACTCACAATTTATTCACTTTTAAAAGCACTCAAGCTTTTAAGCCGTACACTTTATTTCTAGCAGATTGATGCTATTTAACTATTTTATTTAGTCGAGCAAAAAAAAAACAATCTGAGATTTTTCTGTGCAGCTGCTTCTATTTCTTTTTATATATTATTATCATAAAATGGGTGTAGTTGTAAATTGGTCCATGCATACTATGTACATATTAACACGTAATTTATATATATTAAGATTAACATAGAATCCAAATCAGCCTACATTTTCACGCTCAATAACATAACATAAACACTCACGCCTGTCACCCAGAGGGGTAGGCAGAGACTATGGACTTCCATTTGGCACGATCCTGACATACCTCTTTCGCCTCCTTTACATCCATATATCTACGCATACATGCCCGTCGGTTAAGGGTACTTCTAACGTGGCCCCTTTTCAAAATATCGCCAATTTGGTCGATAAACTTTTTTCTAGGGCGTCCCTTCCCGACTCGGCCGTTCACATCTGCCATATAAATTTGCTTTGTCACTCTTTCCTCATTCATTCTTTCTACATGACCAAACCACCGAAGCATACCTTTCTTAACCCTGGTCACACCATCATCTTGCATACCACATTTATCTCTTATCACGCAATTTCTCACCCTGTCATTCAGATTCAACCCTAGCATACTCCTTAAAGACCGCATTTCTACAGCATTTATTCTACTTTCTTGCTTCTTCTGCCACACCCAGCTTTCACTACCATACATTAAAGTAGGGACTAACACAGCATTATGAATTACCATACGTGCCTTTTTTGACACATTCTGGTTCTTCATAATAGAGTATAGTGCCCCATTCACTCTATTCCCTGCATTTACTCGTCGTTCTATATCCCTATCATATCTACCATCCCTGCTAAATACACATCCCAAATACACAAACTCATCCACTTGCTCAATTAATTCTCCTTCTATTCTTATTTCACATACCGTTTTTCTTTCTTCTCTTTCAAAAACCATCACTTTCGTCTTACTTGCGTTCACTTTCATTCCCCTTTCTTTTAATTCCCAGTTCATTAATGTAACCATCATTTGCAACTCAGCCGCCGATGACGCAAATATGACTTGATCATCGGCATACAAAGGGCATTTAACGGTTAACTCGCCCATTCTTAACCCTCATTCTTCATCTTTCAAAGTTTGCAAACACCTGTCCATAAATAGGTTGAACAGCCAAGGGGAAGCTACACAGCCCTGTTCGACACCTTTTTGGATGCCAAACCAGTCCGAGTAGACCCCATTGATCCTGACACAAGCACTAGAGTCCCTATAAAGAGACCTTAATGCCTGTATCAAACCAGCGCTCAACCCAAATGAGTTCAGTGTTTGCCATAACACATTCCTGTCCACTCTGTCATAAGCCTTATCCAAGTCCATGAACGCACAAAAAACTTTCTGGTTTTGGAAAAGACTTGATCTGTACACCCCATTCCCTTTCTAAAACCCGCTTGCACATCCCAAATTTTTCCATCAGTTTCTTTCATAACTCTTTCAATTAACACCTTAGCATACAGTTTACCCACAATACTAAGCAAGCTGATACCACGGTAGTTTTTGCAGTCCTGCTGTGACCCTTTTCCTTTATATATTGGTAACTGCTTTACACCAGTCATCCGGTACCCGTTTTAATTCCCAACATAAATTAAACAAGGTGTACAGCAGGCCTGCCACCACTCCCTCTCCAGCCCTAAGCATCTCGAGTGATACTCTATCATATCCAGCTGCCTTACCTGCTTTCATGCTTTTCATTGCTTTCATTATTTCAACTACACTTATCTCCATACCCCTTTCCAATTCTTTCGGAATTTCTAGTTCAGTTTAATTCAGACGACTCTTCACTCATAAACACGCTTTCAAAGTATTCCTTCCATCTGTTTAAATTCGAAACTTCATCATTCAGAATACATCCATTCTCGTCTCTTATAGCATTCATTATAGGCTGTTTTGTATTTCCCCTGGCAGTTCCTACGAGTTTCCAGAACATTTTTATGTTAGTCTGGAAATTATCAGATATCCCTCTATCATTCTTATCCGTTCTTTCTTTCTTTTTCCTTTCAACAACTTCTTTTACTCTCTTATTTAGACGTCTAAATTCTGCCTTTTTTCTTTCAATCTCATCATTCATACCAGAAGAATTACCAGCTTTGGTTGCTAGTAAATCTAACCATGATTTCTTCTTTGATTCAACTTCCACCCGTACCTCATCATCCCAATGTAACTCAGTGGTAAACACAGATGTCCGATGCCGCCAACGCTTGAAAAGACCATTAATTCGACATAAGACCAAGTAATGATCCGTCCCTACGTTGGACCCCCGGTAAACTCTTGTATCTACGACTGTGCTCCTCATTCTTTCATCCACAATTACGAAATCTATCATGCTTCTATCGTCACCTCTTTCCCATGTATACATGTGAATCTTCTTATGACGAAAAAAAGTATGCGTCACAAAAAGATTCTTCTCCACACATACGGTGAGGAGGTCTTCACTATTTTCATTTATACTTTCATCACCAAACGTTCCCAATATCCTTTCATAACCAGACCTCTTCACCCCAACCCTTCCATTAAAGTCTCCTAACATAATAATATTTTCATTTTCCTTACATTTTGTCAACACCATCCTTTTCACGCTCAATAATTATGTAAATATAATTTTAAATTATAAGCATAGAATTGAAACCGCAGCTCTCACCGGCAGTATATGTTCCAGGTCTGCGCCGACCGTAGAGACCTAACGTCACATTTCCAGTACCGCATAAATTCGGTCCGCCGCTACGCTCTAAACAACGCCTCCGACGCTAAGCTGTCAATATTAAACATATCAAAATTTATAATAAGTTAACATAGAATCCAAATCAGTCTACATTTTCGCGCTCAATAATTATGTAAATATAATTTTAAATTATATAATTGAAACCGCAGCTCTCACTGGCAGTATAAGTTCGGACGTCCCGGTCTGCGC